GTTTCAGTAATTCGCTGACGAAGCCTCGAGCTACTACCCTTAAAGTGTGGGATTAAGAGCGATAAGCCCATTTCCATCTAACTCAACACCTACAGAATTTTGCAAGCTTCCCATCTGCCGCTGTATTCACACAAATTACGGGAATAGTGGGAAAGTCCTCCCTGAGAAGATGTGATGATAATAAACAGGTTCACCACAGTGTGTCTTTTGTCCCATTTCCCTCCCCTCACCCCCAACCATCACAGCAGATGGTTGTTCCTCCCTGAGCCTGGTCCTGTTGCAGACTTCTTCCTGTTAAAAGGAAGTTTTTCCTTCCCACTGTTGCCAAGTGCTTGCTCATAGGGGGCTGTCCGATTCTTGGGGTTTACTCTGTATTATTGTAGTGTCTTTACCGTACAATATAAATAAAACTGAATCACATTTTGATTGTAAATGGATTATCTTTGGATTTGCAGCTGTTTGACAGATGAAATAAGGTGTGCCTTCTTACCCAGATCTCCCATGAATTTTTTTTTAATTTAACCTCCTAGGACCTGGCATCCACATATGTGGACATCACATTTTGGGTCGTCTTGACCACAATACAAAATTTTGCTCTACAAGGGCCTGATATCCTCTTCTCAGAAACTACATAAGGTAAAAAGATAATCCTTTGTTTTTACATTCATCAGGTCCCAATCAGCCCAAATAGCAAAGAGAAATTAAAAATGCATGCCATGAAAGCGTTTGGGTCTCAGGAGGTTAAGGAAATTTTCTGGTTAAATATATAAAACAGCCATTTTATGCAGTTCTCGAAACATCAGAAAATATTTTAACCTACTGTAAAGTCACAGAAAAAAAAAAAGAAAAAGGTATTCGTTATGTGCCATTTACAACATTATTTTTTCCCTGGTTCAAGTTAACACTACAGGACAGGCACTAATCGAAAGTTTGACTTTTATTTAACAATGTTAAGAAATAAGGGAAGCTTTAATGTGGCTCAAAACAGCGTAACCTCTCATCATCTCTCTCATGCTGAGAGTATTTGATATGGGAAAAACCAGCTACCACAAAGAAAGGGAAATACAGCCACAATAACGACAGATTACTTACAGAGTGAAGACATTGGAAGGTGATTCTAAACACCTTTGCTGTGCAAAAAAGAAAAAAAACAACAACAACAAAAACCACTATGAGCAAGCACTTAGTGAGAGTGGGAAGGAAAAACTCCCTGTTAACAGGAAGTAACCTCCAGCACAACCAGGCTCTGAGAGGGGCGGACATCTGGCATGATAGGTTAGAGTGAGTGTAAGAAAACTGCACAGAAAAGAGTTTAATCATTAGTAAAGATTAAAGTTTATTTCTCTATTTTTTTTTCTAGGATAACGGGAAATGTGCAAAATGAAAATGAAACGTCCAAACATACATGGAAGCATATAAGCCAAAAATAAATAAATAAAGGTTTGTACAATATTTGGTATGACCACCTTTATTCTTCAAAACAATGTGAACTTTATTAGTTAAGCTTTCCTTTAATTTCTTTAAGTGTTCTTCTGGAATAGTTTTCTAGTCATCTTGAAGGGCATTTAAAGCTCTTATTTTTTTCCTCCTCCCTGTGTTCTCATCCTTTTTTTAATGTCATTTCCAGTGAAAGTTCCAAGATGGAGACACAATACAAGGAAACGGTTTAATGACAATTGATTAATTCTCAGTATTTATCAAACATCAGCTCCGTTTTATTGTCCGCTTACTGAGCGTGGGAAAAAATGACTCACCCCGGCACACAAAGAGGAAACGGCTGCTCGACAGAGGACGCCACTGGTGGCGAGCGAAGTCTTTTTTGTGGCCTGCTTGGTATTTGGATCCCTACTGATATGAAACAAGCGCTGTTTTACTTCTGCTAAATTGTGCATCTGGTGCCCAAATACATTCACAATGCGTCACCCCGCAGTGTCTGTTTACATGCCAGTAAAACATTTCGCCTTTCCAGTAGAGAGCTCTTTAGGGACCACCAACACTTCCAGCTCTGGAAGTTCCTTGAGGCGTAAATCTGACAATGAGTGGGAGCTCTGAGGAAAAAACTGTTTATTTCTGTGAAGCTGAGAACCAGCATTTTGTTATCATTCTCTGCAAGACTGCCTCAAACGCCTAATACTATTAAATGTAGATTTAAAAAACAAAAACAAAAAAAACAAAGAGTCCTCTATTGCGGTCAATCTTAAGCAGGCACACTTAGCCCAGGCCTGCAGACACACACCATGGAGGAGATGTTGCTCCTTTTATGTTTTTTAAGTTAACCTTAAGTTTTGTGCATGTTTCGCACAGGAAACAATTTAACCTGACAGATAAAGGAGGGGCAGCAGAAAGATGGGGGGGGGTGTCTCATGAGGAAATTAAAAACCTAGAAGCTTTGCTGCATTTGATGACACCTGGAAAAATGTTATCTTTATGATTTGAAGACTTAAGAGCTAAAGGTTCCTTAAGCTTAATCCAAAATGTGCATTTTTAACATCGACTTCTGTCACAGAGGAAACCATGGCCAGGAAATAAAATAAAAAAGGAGAGTTTTTATATGTTAACAGTTGTGTTGACCAACCAGCTATCCCTCATAGTGTTATTCAGTGACCCAAAATGCACTTTTTCAAGTTTTCTCTTGTGAAAACAGATAAAATATTCAGGATACTAAAGATTGCTTCTGTTACTCTACTTCATAGACATTAAATTGCTCCATTTCTGCTGTTTAAACTTTGATATATGCCATGAAACTGATGCTCAAAGTTGGCTGCAAAAAACATAAAAACCTGTGTTGAACAGAAACTTCTAGCTTTAGGTTGCGACACCTGGATTTGCTGTCCTTTGAGGGGCCTAAAACTCGCATTGCTTCATTAAACATAATAAAATTACTGCATATTACATAAATCTGCAGATTCTGATGGGTGTCAGGTGGGGCACGCATTGATTTTTGATGGAGTAATCTATCTGTAGGCTACCGTAGCTCTATATTCGGACAAATAACCAAGATTCGTCTTTATCGATTTGTTTGCTGTCGGTTTCCAAACCACTAGATGTGATTTTTCTGCATTAAAACTGTACTAATTCATATTCTATGGGATCTGGGGGATACTGGGCTAATTTTACTAGTAGGTTAAAGCTACTTGAACACAACCAAACCACTGGGAAACAAGTTCTCTGTAGTGATGAATCATGCTTCCCCATGTGGGAGTTCTGGCAGCTTGGCCAACGGTACTTGTCTGACTGCTTTGTGCACAATGTAACGTTTGGTGGAGCGGGGATCATACTGAAGACCAGCACTGGTCTGGCTGTTAGCATTGACTGTAAGAGGGTTCTGGATTCAAACCTGCCTGTGTGGCACTATGTTCTTTGCTTGTGTGTGTGGTTGTCGTCTGCCTAAGTTGTGCCCCGTTTTTTCCCCTATGACAGGGGACCCTGTATTATTTATATCTGTTTACTAGTTTGCCATCCTCTTGTCCAATGCTTGATTCTTTAATGCCTCCTATAAACAAAAAGAATAACGGGAAAGCTTATCTGCAAGTGCAAATGCATGAAACAAAATACTCTAGCCTAAAATCTGCAACTATAAGCACGCTGCATAACTTTTGCATATAGCACGTTCATGATAAACATGCCTTGCCCTCAAATATCAGATTGTTCCCACTGGCTGCACCACAACTTAAGTAAATATGCTCTCCAGGCGTGACCGAATACCATCTAGTCTGTGCCGAGCCTGGGATCAGGGCTGCGTTGGTGTATCCAGGCTTTACGTTGAAACTGCACCTGATATTTGCATTCCTTTGTCTAAACCAAAGAACAGACTCACATTTTTGCACTGCATGCACTTCAGTTCATCGAGTCCAATTTCAAGCAAACCCAGGCTTGAAAATAAAATCGTATTGACTCACATTTCTAGTAATCCATCATCCTGTGAGGTTACAGAGTTTGGCAGCACTCACAGCTGATCCCAATGCTTTTAACTGTAATTAAGCATGCTGGCTTGTCTGTGCCTTTTTGCTGTATTTCACCCTCTCCACTGCTGCTTGTACCAGATTGAAAAAACATGAAAAAACGCCGAATATGAGCATCATTCCAGACTGTGGTTTGCTTTGGGTTAATGTTGTTATGCTAGGCTTTTCAAGCATGAAGCACAGCAGGCTGTCACATGCCAATGCTGGTCTCCTTATACCCATAAACCCTTGCATTTTGGGGTCATTCCTTGTAGTTGGTCTGGAGTACATTTTCATTCTGAACAAACCACGCAGTGGGCGTCCTGGAAGAGAAGTCTGACTCATACTTTCTGGCATCTCTGGCCAGTAATGGTATTGTTCTCACCTGCCCAGAACTAAATTCTCTAGTGTTGTGAAAACATAGAGACACACACGCACATGCTTGCGTAAATGCCACTTTTCTCACCAGCTCCTGCTCCAGCTGACCGGTTCCCAGATAGAGGGAGGCCATCACCACCCGCCTCTGTGCAGTCTTGATGCGAGCCTACGGTAAAAGGAGAGAAAAAAAAATACAAATAAGGAATCCCAACAGCGAATGTGAGTGTAAGTCTATGTGGGCGGGAGCTGATACTAGGAAATGATAACGTATTCACGGGAGTTACATTTCCTGTAGCCACATGCAGGCACCTGGCCTGGGGCACAAGGAAAGAAAGCAGTTGTAGTGCAATCATGAGACTGACAAATAAGAAAAGGAAACAGTGTTTATGGTGAAAAAAAAAATCTCCCAAATGTCAGTAATTTTAAAAAAAGAAAAGAAAAAAAAACAAAACATAAGGAATTTCATGTTTTACATTTTAGTGACATTATGAAATCATTTATAGTGCTGATGGACTGGTATTTTAGATAGATAGAGATAGATAGAGATAGATAGAGATAGACAGAGATAGACAGAGATAGACAGATATAGACAGATATAGATAAGATAGATAGATAAGATAGATAGATAAGATAGATAAGATAGATAGATAAGATAGATAGATAAGATAGATAAGATAGATAAGATAGATAAGATAGATAAGATAGATAAGATAGATAAGATAGATAAGATAGATAAGATAGATAAGATAGATAGACTGAAGGATGCTGTATTGGGCTGAGATCAGGTGACTGATGGGGCCATGGTAGAATATCTAATTTTTTTGCTTTTTTGAGCACAGAATTTAGTCCAATACACCTCATTCATCCTGGTAAGTGGCCTGGTTCTACTGGAAGTCACTGGAAACATGACTATGGCAAAGTATGAATACCTTTTCCTTTCGTACTTTACTCTTCTCATCTTTCTACTATAAGTTTATCTGGGCCTCATCTGTCCAAAGGATGTCTTTCCCAGAACAGGGCAGGCTCCTTCTGATGATTTCTGGTAAAGCCTAATCTGGGCTTCCTGTTCTTGAATGCAATCAGTGGTGCGCATCTTTTTTGTAAGCCCTTTGTATTTACATTCACAAAACATCTCTTGACTCTGGCCACCTCCACAACTCGACTGACTTGAGAAGATGTTGTGAGGAAAAAAAATACTTTAATTTCTAAACAATAAAAACAACCCTTGAAGTAAAGCTGAAAGCCTGTGCTTGAATCTCATCTTGACTGTTTCTTAAAATCAGCTGTGGTGGTGTACGGAGGCAAAAACTTCAAAAACTGTATCATTGTTCAAAAACCAAAGGAGCCATCTGTGTATAAACTACCTGTTCATCACTAAATGGCAGACTCACACACTTAGTGACTACCTGCTGAACACAGTGAGCCACTAGACAGCTACAGGATCAACTTTTTCCCCCTCAGAGGCCATTAAGAGACCAAAACCAGTGAGAATATCGGGAATCTAAACATCAGCTGTCCAGAAAAACAACCCAAAATGGAAATGGAGTAGCATTTATACAGCAGTCTTCTAGTCTTACTGACCACTCAGAGCACTTAACCATACATTCATACAGTGCTATACCCCTTATTCTTTACCACCATTTTTCTAGCTCCAAGCACCAAATAACCTAATATGCATCTCTCTGCACTGAAGGAGGAAGCCAGAAAACCTGTGAGAACCCAAGAAGGCAGAACATACAAACTCCACACAGACTCCTACCTGCCATGAGGCGACAGGGCTAACTGGGCTGCACCAACACGCTGCCTGAAATGAGTAATTATGCTGATCTATAACTCCTGGTTAAGTAAACAAATAATATCACATAAGTTAAGGAGTCACAAATCATTTATCCTTTCCCTGAGTGGGAATAACGTTTTCAGGGCATTCAAAGAACTTAAAATAAAAAAAATCCTCCTTCAAGTTATCATCTAGTTAGATTCCCATATAAAAGGGTTATGAGAAGATTTTAAAAAAACAAAAAAACAATGATAAATGCTAAGTGTGATTTTCTCAAACCCAGAATGATACCCTAAAATTCAAAAGAATCATTTACATTTTTGTAAGACACAAAAATTGTAAAACTAACATTTATTTGGTTTTGCTTAAAAAAATATTTTTTTAAATGTCAGATTTTAAAACTGGTATGATTTCTTTAAAAGGTAGACTAAACTGTAATTAAAAACAAAATTCCTTTTACCGTCTGTGGAGATTATTATTAACACTCAGGGCAGAAGAAATACAATGATGTTTTACAATTTGTGGGAAGTGTCCCTTTAAAGCACGCACATCTTAGTGAATAACAAAAAAAATCCTTAAATATTTCTGCACCTTAATGCAGCAAGATCTTCTTGCTTGTTTAAATACCAGTTAGACAACCACAAAAGTTCCTCTTTCTTTTGGCTTCTCATGCCACAAATGTTGCGACTTGATCATTCAACTACAAGTGATAAAAACAGTCTTCTGACCGTAAGTGACGAAACCGGAAAGAGTAGATTTTGTGCCAGAGGTGATCTAAAAATACTTTCAGGTGAAACCTTCCCAGCAATGAGGAAAAGTCAACATAATCACACCCATTCAACACATTCCGGTAACATCCTTTTAACATCAATAGTTTTTCTTATGCAAATATGACACGTTTGACCATTAAAATGCTTTATATTTCATGCACCGTTTTCAAACCTTCTAATATACATTTATATTTATAGAAGCACTGTGATTGCATCTGAGCTCCAAGTGATAATAAAATGAAACACAAATTCTTCCTAAGTAGAATTAAGAGCCAATTTCTTGCATATAACAAATCTCTTATTGTTCAAGTCTAACTGTGGATTTGCATGAAGGAGGATCCTGCCTGAAAGTCACATGGGTGACGTGTAACTTGGAAGAAAATCATGTGTTTTTGTTCTTTGAAGCTTTAAATGCCCCCTTGTTCTAAGAAATATGAAAGGACTTCAATGTGGTGGCGTAGTTATTTCATTAAAAAAAACAACAACATCTTTTTAATAGTTGAGCTTTATTTTGATGCGTTTACTCACTGTGACTCTGCACACAGTGTTTCAGTTTTGGTTTATCTATTTACTACACTGTAAAAGTCAGACTTTCTTTCAGGATTATCTTATCAGAAATACAGAAATTTCAGCATTTTAAAAGGCGTTTCAGTTATTTTATTTCATTATTTAAGAGACTGAGGCATTTAAATTTATCATTCCTCATCCACCATCGGGTAAATAATAGTCTGCAACTATCATCGAAATCTCTGCACATTTTCTTCAAAGCAGTTCCCCCTCTAAACTGTCTCAACTAAGAGCAAAGTAAACTATACTTACTGGGATGTTACCAAATACTATATAGTACAGACTGTAGCCACTGTGATGTCACCCATCGATTTGTAAAATCCTGTTTTGAAACTACAACTTCGCCATTATGGTTGTCGCCGAGTTTGATTTTACAAGCTGGAACTGAGCATCTGGAACACGAGTACCAAGTTATCAGTTAACGTGCAAGAACCGCCACCAATGCTGTTTGCTTAAGCAAACGGGATCCATAAATTGAATAGTTGCACATAACAAATACATAAACCGGATAATCAGTGCTAAGTAACAAGCACAATCTAACTCACTAAAACTAAAGTACAGACTTTGAAAGTGCTGTTAGTAAACTTCTCTGCACAGTAATCTATATTTCTTAGGGGTGCAACGATATCGATATTGAACAGTTTGATACAGTGCTTTCGGTTTGGTACGCATATCAAACAATACAAAATTTTTAATTTATTTTATCAACTTTTCTTCTGACGATGCTGTCTGTGTTGACAGCTCAGTGGATCTGCATTCGACTACTCCGCCTAGGCTGCACTGTCGAGCGCAGATCCACTGAGCGCAGCGCAAGCTAGCAAGACAGAAGCTAAGCTAGTTGCAACATGGCAAATTGAATCTCCCCCACCCTCATTCAGATCTAGTCTTTGGAACTATTTTGGTCTTCATGTGAAGTATGACCCTGAAGTAGAGCTGGGCGATATGAGATTTTTTCATATCACGATATGTTTTTTTCATTTCAGGCGATAACGATATCTATCACGATATAAGCCAAATAACTATATTTGTAAGATTTAAATGTGCCGTTGCTCACAACTAAAATGTGAAATAATCAGCAGCTTGTTTTTATTTAAATATTTATTTCCCATAATAAGTTCAACAGGGTAGATGTACTTAAGGAACATGAGACTTTTTCAGATAAATAAAGGCAAATATTGCA